CCCGGCGCTTCAGCAGGCCACCCCCCGGAGCCGAACTTGCACCGGTGAGCTGTATTGCAGATGATCGAGGTTGACCGGTGGGGGGCCAAAGTAAAACCCGCAACAAGTTCATAGGCCCGATGGGCTCTGCCCGTCTGCATTGCGACCTCCCTTTACCCTACCACGTCCCGCAGCCCGCAGTTACCCCCCCGTGGCTCTCGGCCCAGGTGCCGTGACAGCGGCCCATTCCAGGACCTCGTCGCCACCATCCCTCCCGCCCGTTTCCACGGAGGGAGCCGGCATTTTTGGGCCATGCAGCCAATTCTCGACCGGACGGGCGGCAACATGCTCTACAGCTTTCTTTTGACAGCATATGTTTAACGGGGGCAGGCAAAGCCCGCAGCAACCCATCGTTGGCCGGTCGTGGAGGTGCAGCAAAGCCGCAGATGCCAAGACCTACCCGGGGGTCCAAGCGAGCTGGAAGGATGCCGGGCCTCAACCGCACCGGCCCGTCCGTTGTGGCTTTATTTCCCCGCGACTTTTCGGGTTACTCGACCGTAGTCTCCCATCATCCCGCGTCGTCTGTGTAACTCGGTGAAAAGACGCCTGGAATAGGTCTCCATCACCATCTGCGATACCGCTTCGGCAGCTCAGTTGATCTCACACGGAAGTGCTGCATCGGTCGTATGACTTGCCATGCCCATCTCCGATGGCTCCAATCAAGCACGCGAGTCCGAGCTGCCGAGTTGCAAACCGAACTGGGCGCTCGGTGAGGTGAGGCTGTTCAGTGCCTTTCTATTCTTGTCCCCCATGTCACTATTCCTGACTTCTGGGACGGAATACATCGCGTGTGTTGTCTGAAGCAACCAGGCTCGTCAGAACTGATCTCGAGCCACCGCTCCGATCATCATACACTGTGACTTGCGTCAATCACCCACCCTCTAGCTGGTAGAGCGCGCTCATTGCGCCAGCTCCTCGTTGAAGGTGATGTCAAGCCGTCCCCCCTTGGGATAGGTAAAGAACTTCATCAGTTGCTCCATCATGTCATTCGTCATGTTCTTGCTTATCCTGGCCCCGCGGCATTTCCGAAAAAAGACGGCCGTCGCCAGACGAAGCTCCATCTTGGCTAGATGAATGCCGATGCAGCTGCGGGCGCCAAGACCAAACGGTTGTGCGACACGCCGCTGGGTCGCAGTCGCGTGCTCGAATCGAGTCTCGTCAAACCTTACACAGCGTCAGCACTCTGTAAGAACCTTAGCCGCAGCAGGGGACTACATACTTCTCCGCATCTGGGAAGAGCTTCTCATCTCTGACCATAGTCCACTGCTGTGTAACGACCATGGTATTGGCGGGGATGTAGTGGCCGTGCCAGACAACACCTCCGGGGCCCGTCTGCCGGAGTAGGGTTCCAGATGCTGGGCTGCGCAAGCGAAGGACCTCATCGATGACGTTATTCATGAGCGGCAGCCGCTCCAGGTCTTCGTCGGTGAAATCGGGGTCCAGCTTGGCGACCTCATCTTCCAGCCGCTTTTGGAGGTCCGGCCGTTTGAGAACTTCCCAGACCACATATGTCAAGGCCGAGCCCGACGTGTCGGCTCCGGCGATAAGCATTCCCGCCGCCTCGGAGCGGATGGCATCGTCTGTGAGGACCCCATATTCGCTCTTTTCGGCTGCCGCAAGCATCTGCGAGAACAGATTTGGCTTGTCTAGCTTCACATTGCGCAGGTTTTCGACGGCAATGGCTCCCCTGTCATAGACCACTTGGTTGGCCCCCACAATCTCTTTCAGCCGCTTGAATGGAAGAATCCTGGCGAGCAGCGACAGGCCAAACGGCATAAGGCCGCGCAGCAAGATATTCACGCCCGCGTCCTCCAGCGCGTGCAGATAGTCATCCGACTTTCCTTTCGCCCAGTTTTCCACCATATTGAACGACTCGCCAAATGAAAGCAGCGCGATAATATCGCCTGTCATGACCAGCCACCACCTGTGCACATCAGCCGTTCCCTCGGTCGCCTGCTTCTTGATCAGATCGACGCAGTTGTCGATCTTGGCGCGAATCTGCTTCTCCCAGTTCTTGCGCAGCACGTCCAACGAGAGGGCGCGTGAAAACAGCTTACGACGCGACGAGTGCAGCTTCACGTCGGTCATGCTGAAGAGAAAGGGCTCGGGGCCGATCCTCATCTTGTCGTGGCGCGGTGTCTTTCGGAAAGGCGTGCCCATGCGATTGATGTCCTCCCAGAGCAAATGATCCGACGTCGCGACCTGATAGGGCTCGAGCCGGACAACCGGTCCATAGCGCTTGAACTGCTCATCGATATAGTGCGATCTGGTGCCCGTGAGAAGATGGTACCGGATCCCAAGGCTGGTGAATTTGGAGTGCCATGGTCCGGGCAATTTCGACACTGGGTTGACAATGGCTCGAACGACGCGCTGAGCCAGTCAGTTATTAGCACTAACGTTACTGTCCAGCTGCCACTGCCAGCTGGTAGTAAAACCCATTGCGGCAGTTGCGAGACGACACAGTAACTCACATAGAGGATTTGATAGGCCACAAAGACCACGAAAGCGGTTAAGAGGATCCCCATCTTGACCGCTCTTTTGTTGTTGTCGAGAGCAAGCACGAGCGAGAGACTAGGCAGCTGGGAACATTCGTAATTGGAAGTCAGCGGGGGCCTTCCCAATTTATGGGTTCAGCTTCCAGGGGTGCTCCTGCCCAAATTACAGGCGTGGCGTTTTATGAGGCATGCAGTCAGCTTCGTCCGAGCCGCGGGAGGAACGACCGTTATTCGCAGCCAACGGTGGATATCCATCTTCCAATCATGGCTATGGAAAGCTCGGCTGAGGTGAGAACCTTATTCTCTCTGTTGGTGTCCACCAACGCCAGTTAACTGATAGTTAGTCACGTCCAACGATCGGAACTCTCTGCGCTCCGGTGTACGGAATAGGCGGAGTAATAAATGACTTCTATCTCAATTCTGGTCCAAAAACACAAACAAACGCCGCTGCTGATGCTCCATTTCTTGGGGGAACTCGCTACATAATGGACGCATAGGTATGCTTACTGCTAATGTCATCCTCGCGATCCTGATTCCCCGTCTTGGTCATATCTCCGCTGATTCCGAGCAGGATCAACCGGTCAATCCAATGGGCGAAGCTGATGCCAAGATCTGGGTCGGTCACCCGAACCGGTCCAATACCGACGCATATCTCGCCCTCCATCTTTCCACCATCAACACCCGGTGCCGGAGGCTCATGCCGCGTCCTTCGGGCCATTTTCGATCCGCATCCGCGCAGTGGTCCAACAGCAGTCTCATCACATCAGGCCCGTCGGCGCCGTCCACGCCCCGTTCGATCCGGCCCACCAACAGGGCAAGTGGCGTGGCGCCTTCTGCATCCACAGCCTCGGCGTCGGCTCCGACGAAGAGGAGCTGGCTTACCACGGCCGGGTTCTCGGCGCCCACCGCCCAGTGCAGCGGTGTGCGTCCGTAGCTGTCGCGGAGGGTTGGGTCGGCGCCGTGGTGGAGGAGAATTTTCGTGGCCAACGCATCATCGCTGGCAAGGTGCAATGCTGTGATGTCTCGTGTGGGAAAGGGTGATGAGCGGTGGAGAGGCGGGCCGAAGAAGACGGACTTGGTCCCATCGATGGTGGACGCAGTATTCGCGTTGCCGTGAGCGAGAAGAACGGACAGACAATCGTGCGCATTTGTGAGTATAGCGGCGTGGATTGGTCTCATGCCTCGAACGGACTGGGCCTTTGGTCGTGATTTGGGTGCTGGAGTCGGCGCGTCCGGTGCGGCGCCTCGGTCGAGGAGGAGCCTGACGACATCGGGAAGGTTGAGCGCGCAGGCCGAGGCGAGGATACTGGAAGGATGCGACCCAAAATGACTCGTCATATCGTTAGGGTCAGCACCGGAATCCAGGAGGAATCCGATGAGGGCAAGGTGGGTTCTCGGGCGACGACGGCCCTCTAACGTTACGGCATGGATAGCCGCCATCAGTGGAGACATACCGGTCCGATTCCGGCAGTTTATTGGCGTGTTTTCGTCGAAAAGAAGACGGTCGATCTTTGGAATGTCCATGGATAAGCACGCATCACACAGTTCATCCGCCATCCCAGCGGATTGCACCGGTGCTGACGGGAACAGCCAGGATATGGAGATAGCCGCCGAATATCTCCGCCTGGTCTTCGGGTTTGACAAAATGCCGGCCTTCCTCCTCCTTCTATGCATCTCGGACATTTCCAGCACCCGCAGGGCTGCTTCACTGTCCTCGGCTTGTTGTTGACCGTTGAAGGCGCCTTCTTTGCAACTGCAGTCGGTCCCATGGAGCCAAACAGAGGGCGTTGGTCGAAATGTTGGCCGACTTGATGCATGTAGCTCTCGACAGCTTGACCGTGCTTCTCGTCCCCGTCCGGCCTTGGATTCCATTCCAGAAAGCACATCGTCTGTTGACGGTGTCTGTATCTCCGCAATGCCGTTTATTGTCGAACATCGTTGTCGTCGTCTTGTTAGGGTTAGGGTCGCCATGTTTCGCGTCGGGCTGCTTCGCTCACGATCGTTTTGACAACACGAACCACCGCGTGGGGAGTTGGGTGGTTAAAAAGATTCCCAAAGCTGATGCCTGGCGTGCTGTACTCGAATCCTCCGCAGTCGTGGCACTACGTGTTTCCACGTGTTGCACGGCAGCATTCAGCTCGCAACGTCAGCCACTCCCTAAAAGGCTTGGCGGAGGCGCGATGCTCTCGGACCGGGACTGCCATCTCAATAGTCCCCTCGCTTGTCAAAAAGTCGCGCGATCCACTCCACGTGTACACAGTGAGGCGTCTAGGGCTGCGCCTTTCAAGGCATTGGAGCCAACAAATGGTTGGCCCAGAATGGCTCACTGTGTGAGGCCGCTTGCTTGATGGCTTGGCATTTTCCAGTCCCACTCATATGTGTAGGGTGAATGCAGGAACACCAGAGCAAAACCTCAACAAAAAAAGGTGAAATAAGAGGGCCACGGCAAGTGGATATCGAAAAGATCTCTCCGGCCGGGAATTGAACCCGGGTCTCGAGCGGACAATCTTTGCAGATGACAAGCTCACATACTAGCCACTATACTACCAGAGAATCGACTCGACTGAATGACAGGTTCCCAGTCAAAACACCTCATCAGCTCCATCAAGTTCTAGTAGAGGTTCCCTGCGACTTCTCGGTCAATTCAGGTCCCAAACAATCCCTCAAAAACCGCCACTTGACCTTGTCGACCCATCCCTCAGCAACAAAGTCACCAACAAACTCGGGGAACACATCCACCACACCCAAGACAGTCTCATCATGCGCCGCCACAATAAGGATCTCATCCCTCCCATCGGCCTCCTGCATCCTCCTCAAAGTCCTCTCACCCTCCTCCGCATCAGCATGCCATCTTCTCCCCGCCGCCGCGACGGGCGTATAAAACGGCCTTGTCCTCACACTCTGCTCCCCTTCCGTCGCGAGAGGTACACGCAAACTAGGCCGTAACTCGCCGACATGATGAACCGCGTCGCCGGCCATGAGGATGAACCTGCTCCTCCAACCCGTTTTCCCTTCTCTGGAGCAACCGACACGCGCAAGACCGCAAATATGTCCCACGGCGTGTCCTGGCGCGTTCAAAAGGTAAAATGACCCGTCGCCGAAGTAATCAATCGCTTCGAACTGGCCTATGCGCAGCGTTTTACTTCCTCTCGACGAGGGATCGAAATCGAGTTCCTCGACCTCGCGGCCGTGGTAGTCGCTCTCGAGAATAGTCGAGCACGGGTTCGATGGGTACCCCGGGAAAAGATGTTCACGGGATCCCGGACCCACGATGAGTTTTGTCGAGGGGGGGAAGAGGGATGGGTCGCCCGTGTGGTCGAAGTGCGCGTGGCTCCAGATGATGGCTTCGATGGGGGGCAGCCCCGAGGTTGAGTCTCGGAGGATGGAATGCACGTCGGTCGGCGCGTGGAGGGTCCAGCCTTCGGCTTGGAGGGTCGAGACGATCTCGGGGCTGAGGTTTCGCCAGTCCTTGCGTAGGCCTAGGTCGAAGAGGAGGGTGCGCTCGGGCGGGTTGGGGGATGAGTGCCGGATCAGGAACGACAGGATCGGAGCGGCGAGCCATTTGTGGTTTGGGTTTGGGGGGCCGAAAAAGTCGTGGGCTTTGATCCCCGTGAGGCGAGCGCCCGTGTTGATGATGGCTACATCGACGGTGCTGCAGGGGGTTGGTGAGCTGATGAGGTCGTCAAATGACAGACTTGGGACGTTTGATACGTTGTGAGAGGCCATGTTATTACGGGTTTAGGGTGATGAGCTCAAGGTGTTTGACGATGCCTCAGTATCAGGATGAGGTGAGAAAGTTCTTCGTCACGTTCTCATCATTATGAGTTTGGATGTGGATTACCCTGTGTGTACGGTATTAAACTGACGAGTAATAAGTTCAGGTACCAGTCATTATGGCGTTCTGACATCACACCTGATTGATAGCAAGATCCATCACACTTGCCAAGGCATCTTGCCCCAGGAGGACAACTACGGTGTTGCGGGCGGTTGAAAAATTGACGGAGTCGAACCTGGATCGGGGCTGTGATTTTCTCGTGGGTGTTTGAGCGGGTTCAACCGTGACACCGAAGATCTACGAGATACATCATTCTGTATCGGGTGGAAGATGTCTTTGAGTTAAGGGAGCAGAAAATTTGCTTACTATTCTGAGAAGGCATTTCAGTTTGCCCTCTTATAAACGCAGTGTAACACTTGACCTTTTGCATTCTGTGCCAATTCTAGAGTCCAGGGCTCCAGCTGGACAAACCGATCCGTCGGTTCTATACCTAAGTTAGCTTCGGCTTTTTTTTTTCGAGATCTCTTTCACAGGATTGGTATCAGATTTGGATTTGAACACTTTGCAGTCGACACCGAGTACCTAGGAGAAGCGTAAGGCATGTCGAGCGCGCTGTGGCAACATCTCTGGTACAAGCTGAGGGTAACAGTAACAATGGTGGAGGTCTGCTCATAGGTGGATCGATCAGTGATAGAAGTCTATTTCTGATTAAGGTCACTTTTTTTCCATTGGGGAAAGAGTTTTGGCCGTGCAGTTCAATGCTGATCAAGGATTCCCATTCCCTTAGACGAGATGGATCGGAACTGATCCCCCCTCCCCGGTAAACAAGGCAACGTTATTTTGTCCCTGTTTAAGCTTGCGTCTTAGTGGTCTTGAGTGCAAAGTTTTGGGCAGATCTATGTTGGAGGGTTCCACGACGCGTCACTCAACCTACCTAGGCAGCCGAAATCGGCCAGGCACTCAGATTTCTGCCTGATCAACCCAGCCTGTCAGCAATCATATTGCTCCTCTGGACACGAAGCATACATAAGGACTTCAGACTGGATTATAACGCCATAAAAAAAAACTCTTTTTAAAGGTCTGGTCACACCCTCATGAATTTCTTGACTTGACTGTCAATCTATGAAAATTTCATTTGCAACCCCTCAACCCGTGCCGGCAGCCCGCACCCTCTCTCCAAGCCCATATCAGTCACAAGGGTCAGACGTCAGAAGACCTGCGATAATTCAGACTTCATCAATATTCCTTAAACAAAACCAACTAGTCTCAACTAGTCTAGTCAGGGAGTCCACGAGATAGTTCCCACGGAAAACGCCGTAAGCGGGCCCGCCCGCCCTTTCAAGATTTCCCGCCATGCTAATACCTGCCGCAGCCGGACCTATCCTCTCTAAAAAAAACCCATCCCAACCGTCCACCCCAAAAATCCAAACTCTATCCTTCACCCAAACCATCACAAGCACCATACCTAGGAAGTACCAGAAAATGTCCTCCCCGGACCCCTCCCTAACAACCCTCCTCCAAACCCACCCCCAAACCTACCTCGCCACCAACCCCTCCCTAACAGGCGGCCTCATCCTCTCGGCAATCCTCCACTCCAAAACCCGCATCCTCCTCGTCCAGCGCGCGCCCACAGACGGCTTCCCCCTAGCCTGGGAGACCCCCGGCGGGGGCGTAGACCCGGCATCCGACGCCAGCCTCTTCGCCGCGCTGTCCCGCGAGGTTCTCGAGGAGACGGGGCTGGCTATCTCTTTGTCGGATGTCGTCACCCTCCTCTCTTCTGACTCTTCTGATCTTGACCGCAACGACGAAAATGAGGGGGGTGGGGTCACTGGGGTGGAGTGGGATGATGGACATGGGAAGCGGTGGCGGAAGATTACTTTTCTTGTTGATTTATCTGGCGATGGTGGGGATGGGGATGGGACGAGAGAAGAGGTGGTTGTTGTTCTGAATCCGGAGGAGCATGTGGACTATGTGTGGGCTTCGAGGGAGGATGTGGTGGAGGGTGTGAGTGGGGGGAGGGAGATACGGTTTGCGTATGGGGAGACGGAGGGGATGGTTTTGAACGCTTTTCGTGTGGTGGCGGGTGGGTGAAGAGGACTGGATGCCCAGGGAAGGAGATAAGGATGGAGGAGTGGATGGATACCTTAGGTAGTAACTGGTGGAGGGAAATGTGGATGATATTGGCCCGTCTTCTGGCTTCGATTTGTGTTGATTAGAGGATTATAGGGATATTCACTTGCAACGTTGGTTTTGTATGGACGATGACCAAATTGTACGGGTCGTTTATCGCTTGCTGATCCTGCGTAGGACGGATATGGGATGTAAACACATCAACTCAGGGGCACCTACTTAGGTAGCTCACACAGACACATGCAGTGACAGACAGCACAATCATGAAATCATTACTCTATTCATCTAAACATCACACGTCCCCATCATCCCCTAATCAAACCCCTTCAGCCCAGGCAGCCCCCGCGCCTTGCGCTGACGATGCAGCCGCTGCATAACCGGCATACCGCCCGGCAGCGCATCCAACCACCCCTCAACCTTCTCCGCCACAGTCTGCGGCTTGGTGCACGCGACCGCCTCATCAGCGCTCTGCGTCTTGAGGGCCGAGCACCGGTCTCCGGAACAGCGGGCGTCGAGGGCTTTCTGCAGGGCGTCGCCCTTCCACCCGAAGACGTAGTCGCCGTGCTGGCCGTAGCCGACCGAGTCGCCGGTCGAGTAGACCAGCGGCTGGTGCTGGTCGGCCGCCGGCCAGAGGTCCTTGAACTTGGGCGTGTCCCACATGACCTCGTACATGACCTGGGGGAGCCGGACCGGGTGCGAGGTCGGGCAGGGACCCGTCGATTCGAACGAGCCGCTGGCGGGGTACGAGACGTGGGATTTGTGGTCGGGGCTGTCGAGGTTCTTGCCGTCCCAGCATCTATTTTCTTACTGTTAGTCACTCCAAGTGAGGAATAGATGAGATGGAAAGACATACGTGGGGAACGTCACAGTGCTGCGGATGCCTCCGCCGCAGTACTTCTTGGGCAGATAGGCCGTGTCATCGCCGGTGCAGGGGGCGCCGCCGAATGGGTTCTGGTCGTAGTTGGGCACGCAGCGGTGGCAGATCTGGCGCTGCATTCCTGACGGGCCGTCCTGGAGGGGATCGCCGGCGAGCATACGGAATCCCTGCGGTCTTAATCAGTATACCTCTCGTCCATACCCGAAGGGAAGAAAACGTACCGGCTTGAAGGCCGTCACTTTGGTCTTGCCATCATACGGCGGGATATAATACACCGTAACACCCTCCTTGCCGCGCAGCCCCAAGTTCACGTACTGCGGCACGCGCTTGAAGCTGCCGTTGGTGTGGTGGAAGTACAGGTTGGCGGTCCAGTAGTTGCTGAAATCCTCGCTGAAGGTGCAGCTCGTGCACGTCGACCGCGTCGGCGGGTCGTACTCGACCGGCGTCATGGTCGCGTTGAACGAGTTGCCGCCAACGATCTGGTGGAGATGCACCGACTGCAGCATGCCCGGGTTCACCAGCGGGTCCAGCCGCTCGATCACCAGCCGGTTGCACTGGAAGCGCATCATGGCCGCCTGCGCGTACTGCGCCGCTGCCTCGCCCGCCAGCAGCGCCGTGCCGGCTAGGATGCTTGTGGTCTTCATTGTGATGCGTCGAAAAAAAAGGTGAGAGCCAAGAACGACAGATTCCCGGGTGATCAGAAGAGACGACGAAAAAGGGGGAAACACAGCAACGGGTGCGGAAGATGATGTGAAGACCACTTATACGCCG